TACTTCTTCTTTTTCCACATTAGACGTACGACCTGCAAACAATCTATACTGTAGTGGAGCATGGAGTGTGATTGAGTGATAGCATGCACCAAAGAATTTTCTCTTGTTATTTTTTAAATTTGCTTCTAAATGTTCTTTTATAATTATTGCATGTACAAATGTGGTATTTATTAAACAAAGAATACTGTGTGTTGATCTAGATTCTTCTGGCATACAAGGGATGTTTTGTATTTCGCACAGAGTTAGTAAAAGTTTAAAAACAAAGTGACCAACCTTGTAATGTTCTGAAAACCAGTTAGTAAGTATTAATAAACTTTTTCGATAGTTGGCAGCATTTTTTGTTTCAATGCCATTAAAAGAGGTTTTAATTATATTTTCTACAACTTTTTTATCTTTTTTTTTACTAAACATGGCAGTTCATCGAATATATTTTTAATATGGTTTGAAATATCATGCATTGGTTCATTATTTAAAATTTCATAGTGTAAAAGATTTAGTTGTGTTAAAGAAAAACCTGTTTTTTATAAAAAAAGATCAGGCATACCTTGCACTCCATGCATTTCATTTGCCAATAGCTCCTTTAATTTTTTGACATGTGTTTAATGGATATTGAATATTTCTTTCATAAAGCTCTTGTTTATTCTGATCTTTTTTTAGACATGAATATAATTTGGTTTTTCCTTGGTTTACTGCCGGCTGTGAGGTGTTACTTGCATTTATATGGTCTATACGACTTTGTAAGGAAGTGTATGGGAAGCTTAACGATATTGATATATTATTAGAAAGATCTGCATGCATGTTGCATGCCCAACAAAAATTATTACCACCCTTCTGATGACCAGCTTCCAGTTGTGCAGCTGGGTTGTCACCTTTGAATATTCTTGCAACATCTAAAATAGGTGTTCCCTTGAATTCTAAGAGATTGCTCAATTGCAAAATGTCGTTAATCCTGTCATCGCTATACAAGAGTTGCTGGTCATTGGAAGGACATCTACCAAGTATGTATAAATAAGGATTTTTGACCTCTGCTTGAACATTTATTTCCTCTCCATACTTTTGTTTATATTCAAAGCTACTTAAAAATATGGCTGTATCGTACATTACACTAACAGTAACAAGAAAGTGAGTGTGATTAGATATACTGGAGCAATCATGCCAAAACATTAAATTCCTTGTTCTTTCATAAGTTTCAAGTATATTTATCAGCTCAATTTTAGTTAGAGTGTCAAATTCATCTTTATATTCCTGAATATTATCAAGAGCATCAACAATTTGCTGTCGAGAGAGTGCTTCTAGTTCATTATCGTTTCGAACTTTCATGAAAATCTCATGGTCTTTGAACATATTTAGTCTTATATCTTTCAAGGAAATTTTTCTGCCTTCAATAAGAACCTCTTTTTTTGTAATTTTTTGATTTTCAGATGATATAAATACTTTTTCATATTTTTGGGGTACAATCTTTTCCCCTGAATTATATGTTCCATCATCTACTTTTTTTTTGAGTTGCTGCTTTATTTCTTTATTAGTTGGCTCGCATGGCAAAGATATATCTCTGATGTATGGCAGGTTTAACCTATAAATGAGTTAAACCATAAATGATTAATAAAATATGAAGAGTTTTACCTATTAATGACAAGTGAAAGAAAGGTAATAAATACCTCCGCTTTTTTCTTCTATATTGTATATTATTTATATTAGTGCCATCAAGGTATGTATTATCTGATATTTTTCTTTTTAGATTTATCTTTTTAGATCACAGTTCAGAGATTCTAAAAGTTTTTTCAATACTTGGCCTCCGTTAGCGGGTGTAAAACCTAAAAATTATTTTGTTTAAATTTCTTGTTTTTGTATTGGTACTTAATACTATTTAAATGGTAAAACTAATTTATTAGCATAATACATTTATTATTAGTTTATTCTTTTTTTCAATATACTATAACATAGATATTTCAAACTATTACCTTTTTTGTTTGTCACAGAAAATTTACATGCTTGTTTAGAAAAATTTATTTTAAAACCATTAGGGTAGGATGAAATTTCATCTAAACACTCAACTTGTTTCCAAGAATATTTCTCAATAGAACCAACAGGGTCTCTTGCTTTTTTATCTCCCTAAATTAGTGGTAGAAGAAAAAAAGTAAAAACTTTGTATAAGCCTCACTATATGCACCTTTCAATCCTTAATCCTTCTCTGTAGTATGCTAGAAGGTATATAACATAACTACATAAGGAATGGCTAGTAATTTTCTGTACTTAGAACACATTTGTCATATGGATTGTTAAACGAGCCCTGTGAGCGTTTCCATATCTCGTAGGTTCCTTTTTTTAAGGAACGTGAACAAAAAGTTATTATTTTTCGTTCACGTACCTTAAAAAAATAAATTTATTTGACCCTCAAATATTTAAAACCTTATCTATTTGTTTTTTTGTAGTTGATTTTACAGTTGAAAAAACATTAAGTTTTGTATTTAGTTATATAGTTTTAGAAATACAGTCAACTCTTGATATTTCGAACCTCCAAGGGACCAAGAAATTAGTTTGAGATGTTTGAGTTCTAGTGAATGTTCGAGCTATCAATATATTTATATATATATATATATATATATATATATATATATATATATATATATATATATATATATATATATATATATATATATATATATATATATATATATATATATATATATATATATATATATATATAGCAGCTAGAATATAGTTAGCTCTGTAGTGTAGTTTCATGTTGTTAGCATGGCCGTGGCCACAAGTTATAATACCAAGGCCATCTGTTGCGTTTAATTAATGTGTATATTGTCCCAATTATAAATCTGTTTTGAAGTTATACTATTCTTATTTTAACCAACTCATTTGTTTGTACATGACTTTGTACATGACTAGTACAATTTTTTTGTGTTTCAAAACTATGGGTTAGGCGGAGCTTATCTCTATTGCTTAATGATACAGGAACACCGAATGCCCTAAAAAAGTTAATTTTTTATTATACTTTATTGTTATAAACATATATTATATATGTATACAACACAAAGTGAGAGAATACACTCTCTCTCTCTCGCAACAAGTACACACACACACACAAACACACACACTTGTGTAGTATATACAGTATATTTAAATAATATTTAATACATAGATATAACTACTCAGGTGTGTATGAATACTTATGAGATTTCTTATATAAATACCTATCTGTTGAGGTTTCTTTCCATTGATTTTCAATATCATTTTTTATTTTATTTGCGTCATATCTGTGTTTCATTTTTTTATTGTGTGGATTAGATAAATTGATTTTCATAGCCTTTGTGAATGTGGTAGAATATTTTTTATTAAAGTCCTGATCTAGTTTGATTAGTGCTTTATGAGTTGCGATTGAAAGTTTTTTTTGCCTATGCATTCCTCCTTTTTCTGCTTTGTATTTGAACCTTTTACATTTGACAAGAAATTTTTCTAACACTTTTTTAATCTTTTATTAGTTATGCATCCTTGACAGTTAAAAAGGCTATGAAGCATTTTTGAGCTTCCTAAGTTATTAAATCTTTCTTTGGAAAAGGTAAGCAAAATATCTTTCAAATACAATTTTGACATGGACCCCTTTAAATTTTTTATATGGTTAACAATAACCGGGCCTTTTTTTTTTATTTGTTTACAATCAAAGTGAAATATAGGATTTTTTTCAATATAAATTTTGTATTGATGATTGAGCACTCTGGACCTAAAAACTTTATAATTTTCATTTACTAAATGTTTGGTTTTATGTTTTTCAGTTAAAGCTATATACACTGCAACTTTAGCGAAACCGCAAGTTAAAAGATCAGCAATAGACAGCTCTGACATAACAAAAGATTGAAATAATTTAATCAAAATCTGTTGTTTACTTGTATTCTAAATTTGGTTAACTGAATTTATATTCTTCCCGCTAAATTACATGTTTGCAATAATCTGTGGTAATTTAAAGACCGGAGTTTTAGCTAAATAGTTTCATGGCATTACAAAATAGGGGTGGATTATAACACAGTAATATTCAAATTTTGAATTTACACTTTTAAATAAACCTTAAGAGGTTTAACTTTAAAAGTCTAACTAGTCGTATGTCAATTTGTGTGTTCTTCACACTCAAATTAATAAAAACTTTCATATAAAATGGAAAAAACAGATTTTAAACTTGAAATAACTAATTTTCGACCTTTAATATGTTTGCATATGACTGGTTAGAAATTAAACATATAACTTGTAACTTGTTTGAAAAACTTGTTTTCTCAAGTTAATGTTTTATCTTCGTTAAGAGCAGCGTCATTTTATACCAAAATATGGTACATCAACCATTAAGCAAAATTTTATATGTAAACTTGTGTAATTAAAAAAAAATTAACTTTATTTGATTTTAGACATACTAAAGCGCTGGTGGGAAAAAAAAAAATAAAAATAATAATTTATTTGTGCTAAAAAAAAAACAGTAAAACATTGCGTTTTTATAAAAACGCAAAATTCTCGTAGGGTAGGGTGGGGCAAGAGGCCCAGGTGGGGTAAAAGGCGCATCCTGCAGTTATAAAGAACCTAGGTAAAATATTATAATTATTGTTTTGTAGTATGAATGATATATGTGTAACAGTGTTGCGAGCGAACTTTGGTGAATTTTTAGTAGAAATATAATTTTTAACAGAATATTGAAGACTTGACAGGTAATAAGAATAGGACATTTTGATTTTTTGCGTAATTTTAAAATTTTTTTGTAGATTATTGTTAAACTTAGTTGATTATTTAAATGAGTTTATGTTTTTGTAACCGTACAAATTATGTATTGATTATTTACATAACGTTCATTGTACCATAGAATAATATGTTTTTAGCAATTTTTGCACCGACCATTTTGGGGCAAAAAGCCCAGTTTGTTAATGGGGCAAAAGGCCCATCCTGAGCTTTTTACCCCTTGCATTATTTAAGTAGAATTTTCAAATTTTAACTTTATTTTATTTATAGATATGGTTAGAAATTACAAAAGGAAGACAAAAAGTAGAGCAGAAGGTTTACAACGGGCTTTAGATTTAGTAAAAAATGGTATGTTTTTGCGTAAAGCTGAAAACAGTTTTGGAGTTTCAAGGATGACATTGAGAAGACATTTGCAGGGCAAAGTAAGACAAGTTGGGAGCAATAAATTAGGAAATCATGTGAATACTTTTTCTATTGAAATTGAACAAGATCTTGTTAAACACATCCAAATGATGGAAAGAGCATTATTTGGATTAACTACGACGGATATCCGGCGGCTAGCGTTTGATATGGCCGAGCGACTTCACTTGAAGCATTCATTTAATACTTCCTCCAGGCAAGCTGGCAAGGACTGGCTTAGTGGTTTTTTGAAACGTCATCCAGAATTAACAATTAGAGTTCCAGAGGCAACTAGTATGAATCGAGCAGTTGGATTTAATCGACCAAAAGTAGACCAGTTCTTTACCGTTTACGAAGATATACTTACAAAGAATGCGTACGGACCTCAGTCAATATGGAATATGGATGAAACTGGCATCACAAATGTCCAAAAGCCAGGAAAAGTGCTTGCCACAAAAAGTGTTAGACAAGTCGGTAAAATAACTTGTGCGGAAAGAGGCACAACTGTTACAGTTATATGTGCAATGAATGCGAGTGGATCGTACATTCCTCCGATGCTAATTTTTCCTCGAAAATGACTCATAGATCAATTAATGAAAGGTGCTCCTCCTGGCAGCATTGGTGGAGCAAGTGCATCTGGTTGGACAGATTCGACTTTATTTCTTAAATGGCTGGAGCACTTTGCTCTTCATACATCAGCAAGTATTTCAAATCCCAAACTTCTAATTGTAGACGGGCATCACAGCCATAAGACTCTTGAAGCAATTGATTTTTGTCGCGATCATGGGATTGCAATGATAACGTTACCACCACACTGCACACATAAAATGCAACCACTGGATCGAACTTTCTTTAAGCCATTAAAATGTAGCTACAACTCCGCAGCAGATAGCTGGATGCGCACTCATCCAGGCAAGCGAATAACTCTGTATGACATGGCAGAAATTTTTGCAACAGCCTATGCAACAGTTGCTGCGGTGGATAAAGCTGTGAAAGGATTTGAAGTGTCTGGCATTTTCCCATTCAACAAAGCCATCTTTACAGATGAGGATTTTATAGCTGCACAATTAACTGATGAGCCAGAACCCGTGATCACACTTGCAGTATTGGACGACAGTGCTAGAAACGAAACAAGTAAACCTACGAATAGAAATGAAGAAGCCGGCAATGCGGTGGATGATGAAGCATCGGTTAATGTGATGGAGACTGATAGGATTGCAACAGGAGATAGCAATGAGTCCGATGAAAATCAACTAGATAAAACAGCTGATCATCCTGGTTTATCCGAAGCATTGCAGATTATATCAGAACTAAGCCCTATTCCAAGGATAAAGAATGTACGCAGTCGCAAACGAAACACCGAAGCAGCAACTGTAATAACTTCTAGTCCTTATATAGCAATGTTAATTGAAGCAAATGCAAAGAAGACAAAACAGAACAAGCAAGTAGTAGTTGAAAATAATAATGAGGAAAATGATGAAGACGAAATTGATGTAATCGCAGACAAATCCAAGAGAACAAAAAGTGGAGATTACAAAGAAACCGGGAAAAGGAAGCAATATGCGAGAACAAAATCAAAAAGGACAATCAAAAGTAACGCATCGAATGCTAACGTGATAAGAAAAAGGTCAAAACAACGAAGATGTGTAGGTTCTGTTACTAACAGTGATGATACGCCATGTTGCATGTGTGGTAAAAGATTTAACGAACCACCCATTGATGACTGGCAGCAATGCCCAGAATGTCTCAACTGGTACCACGACGGCTGTGGTCCTGATGACACTGCTGTCTGCTTTCACTGCCAATAGGCATAATCAATTCAACTAGTCTTACTTTAGTTTTTTAGCTGTCTTTTTAGCTGTATGAATTAGTTTTTTAGCTGTCTTTTTGGGTTATAAATTATTTTTTTAGATGACTTTTTAACTCTATGAATTAGTTTTTTTTAGCAACTTTTAAGCTCTATGAATTAGCTTTTAGCTGTGTTTTTCAGCTCTATAAATTAGTTTTTATAGCTATCTTTTTAGTCTATAAATTTTTAGCTCTTTTTAGCTCTATTAATTTTACAGTGCTGTTTGCCATTGTCATATGATAGCATATATGGTGCTACTTGCTAATATTATGGTGCTAAGTGTTCTACTAAAACTTTTGTTGGACATTTTTACACACAATTTTATTGTGACTAGTAAAAAGTGTATTGTTGCAATAAATTTTTATTGTAAAAAATGAATATTTCAAGCTATTAACGTTTGGGGTAAAAGACCCAGCAATGGGGCAAAAGGCCCACTCTATAGCAGTTTATAAAATACATATTTCCATTAAAACTTGAGTAGCTATTAAGAAAATAACTTTAGATACTTAAGTTTATTATGTATCTGAAATAATGGTAACATAAATTTCTAGATACGTTTATTGGATCATTAAAAAAAAGACTAAATTGCTTAGGGTGGGCTTCTTGCCCCACCTTACCCTATTTTCCAGAAGCATTAACGGCGTTGACACTTCAGTCACGTGACAAATTCTATAGACAAAATTTTCGAAGTTTTTTATATATAAAGAGGACTTTTTCAGATAAAATTTGGACCAATTTTTTTAACCTATAATGTCACAGTAAAACGTTTTACAAAAACTAAAATGATTAATCTTTCATAAAATATCTGCTAGAATTTTTATTAAAAGTTTATCTGGCTGTAGGAGCGATTTTAGTTAAGCTTTTGTAATTATTTTAGGTAAAAACATGGCCTACTTAAATTACACGGCCTTATTTGTTGCATTTTCCGTAAAAAATTAAGAGGCCAGTTTTTTTACGGTTCATATATAAAAACTTAATTTTCGCTATGGTTATGAGTCTTGTTTGCATTATAATTGGTTTATTCTTATTTTATTAACCCAGCAAACATTTTTCGTTGTTTCGACGTTAAAATTAGATCGATTTTTTTGACGTCTTTCTTTTTACTAAAAATTGATGTGTTTTTGACGTTAAAATACAGACATTGATTAATTAACCTAATTTGAACCTTATATGAACGTCGATAAATGACTAAATATCGTCGTTAATTTTATGACCAATATTCTACCTGTTTTCTACGTTATGATAATAATAATAAACTTTCACAAATATAAAATAAGGTATCTGAAAGAAGATCAAAGGATCTTGTCGTCAGAACCTTAAATAAGTTCAAACAAGCATTAACAGTACCAAATTTTTACAAATTTCATATATATACAATCCAAATATATATTATATAATCCAAAGAGAGATCACGCGGATCTACTCACCAATATTTTATATAAACGTATACGTTAAGTAAAGAATATAAAATCAACAAAATAAGTAAGAATAAACTTTTTACAAATATAAATAAGAAAAGGCAAAGTTATTAATTTATATTATTAATACTAACATAATACGTCTTCTAATGAAAAAATTAGGGTTTTTAATTTACTTTTAAAAAAACGAAAAGTAATGGGTAGTTCGAAATCAAAATTGGGCAAAACAATTTTATTCCAAAGGTGTGGTGCCCGATAGGCAATACAAAATTGATTAAAGTTCGTTTGACAGAAAAATTCATTTAAAAAATCAGTATTTCTCAAATTGTATTTGTTGATGGGTTTCGGAGTAAAAATATCTTTGAAGACAGATTGAGACAAGTCATTTTTCCACATGTATACAAAGCATAAAACATTATACATATTTAGCTCGTATATATTTAAAATTCTCATTTCAATAAAATAATGTTTTGCGTGAGAAAAGCGATTTGCAAAGCAGATTAAACGGATAGCATGTTTGTGACGGCAATAAAGACGTTGCAACTTACTTTTTTCTGTAATACCCCAGGCGATATTAGCATAATTTAAATAACTGTGTATAAATGAATAATAAAGTTTGATTGAAATTTTCTTATTGAAGTAGATTCGTGCTTTATATAAAACTCCTATGTTTCTTGAAATTTTAGTGCTTATGTAGTCGATAAATTGATTCCAAGTGATGTTTTCATCAAGATAAACACCTAAAAATTTTGTTACGGAATCCCTTTTTATTTCATTTTGATCAATAAAAATTTTAGGTAAGTTTAATGGCAAATACCTTTTTTTGGAAAGCGAATGGAATAAGGTCCACTTTGTTTTATTAGAGTTTAGAGTTAACTTATTACATTTAAACCAACTCGATACATGTATAAGCTCTTTGTTCATTGTTAAAAAGAAATAAGTTAGTATCATCTGCAAACATAATACTTGTAAGTTTAGAGGCTTTATTTAAATCATTAATATAAATTAGGAAAAGAAGTGGACCAAGAATTGAGCCTTGTGGGACTCCACATGTTATAGAAAGACAATTGGTATGATAACCGTCATTACTCGGAACAAATTGTTTACGATTTGACAAATAGCTTTCAAACCATTTTAAAACTTTATTTTTTATTCCATAGTGTTTAAGTTTATAGATTAGAATTTGGCGATCAACCGTATCAAAAGCTTTTGATAGATCAATAAAAAGTCTTAGAGTATATTGTGATTTTTCAAATGATTTTAAGATTTCACGTACAAATTGGATAATTGTATGTTCAGTTAAGCTATCCTTTTTAAAACCGAATTAATTAATGTTAAGTAATTTATTAACAGGAAAATATTTGTATACTCTGTTATATATAATTCTTTCTAAAATTTTTGAAAATGTGGAAAGAACAGAAATAGGGCGATAGTTACTAATAATTGATTTGTCCCCTTCTTTAAAAATAGGAATAATTTTGGCAATTTTTAACAGTTTGGGGAAAACACCTTGATGGATAGAAGCTTTAAAAACTTTAAAAAGAACAACTTTTAGCTGTTCAAAACAATCTATAATAAAGTTTCCATTTATTTGATCTGCTCCAATTGCTTTATTTTTTTTAAGGATTTGAAGGCTCTTTCAAACTCTTCAAACAAAAATTCAGAAGACAACTCAACTGAACCAATGCAATTATCAATGGGCACTAGAAAATTAGTTAATAAAGATTTGGTCTTTGGGATTTTTTAAAAAAGTGTTGGACCTATATCGATAAAAAAATTGTTATTATTACGTCATTATACTCACGTTAAATTTTAAACGTTGTTTCAAAACATTTTGAACGTCAAAAATCAACCAAATATTAACGTTTTGTTATAACCGTTTTTCCATCAGTTATTAACGTTATATACAAGACCATTGGATGATTTAGTATAGGGCGTGGGGGGCGAACTGCCCCCACGCTCCCCTAGAAGGGTCAACGGCGCCCCCTAAAACAATCAAAAATAAAAAATAAATTATAAGATCAAATTACTGAAGACAACCCCCGGCCGCCCCTATTTATTGACTTAACCGCCCCGCGACACTAAACCTCAATCCGCCACTGTACCAGACCCTTAAAACAAGAAGTTCAAAAACCATAATGATTGTCAGGGAGTAAAATATTAGGCTCAAGTTGGAATGTTAGAAATTTTTTGATCAATTATCAAAAACTTTGCTTAAAATAGAGAGAAGACTGACTGGATAGCAGTTAGAGGGGACAGGTGTCAAGATTTAGATTCAGTCAAGCACTTATTAAACAGTTTAGTAAAAATT